AGCACTATGTTGGCTTTTTTGGCAGCTGCAGCACACTTAAATGATTGTCCACTAGGACTCCGAGATCCCCCTCACAGTTACTACTATTGAGCAAGGTACCCCCTATACTATACCTGTGCATTTGGTTTTTCTTGCCTAAATGTACAACCTTACTTTTTTCACCATTGAATTTCATTTTGTTAGATAGCGCCCAGTGTTCAAGTCTGTCCTGCCTTCAGGTGCTTTGGAGAATAGCTTGACTCCCAGCCCCACTTCTTTATGGCAGCCCCAATTCCTGCAACCGTTCTTATCTTTTAGCCTCCAGTCCCCTAATCATCTTTGTTGCTTTTCTCTCCACTCTTTCTAGAGTCTCAACATCTTTTTTATATCGTGGCGACCAAAACGGAATTTAAAATTTGAATCCAACATCATTTGGTATCAAGAGAGTAATAAAGGCATAGTTACCGGAACTGTTTTTAAAATGGGGAACACTCAACGTAAATAAATTGCCAGCGGGGCAACATGCACAGGCCGGAGACCTCACCTGCTCAGCTGGTGGGGCGGCTCGCGCAGAGACCACACAACGTAGAACTCGACTTTGCCGTTCATCGTGGCGAAGTCAGCGCATTGAGACTGGGGAGCCGAGACAACTTCTCGATGCCACAAGCCGCCTGCAGCCCAGCTCCAGCGACGGAAAGGCGTTTTCCACCCATCTAAAGCCGGGAAATTGGAGGTAGCAGAAAACATGTCCTGAAGTTCAGGTCTGGGCGGTGGAGGGGGTAGGGGGTGGGGCGCTCCTAGATTTGGGAAAACGGCAGTGGCCGATTCGGTTCAGACCGCTGAGGAACGCTGCGGAGTGCTCGCAGGTGCTGGTTCAAGCGTTTCTGGGTAAACTCGAGAATCACACAACTTCCTGACATCTTTATTAATGGCAGGTGTAAGAATGCTGGCACTGGTTTCTTTGCTTAAAGAGGCTATACTGGGTTATTTAGTAACAAGGCAAAATCCAAGAGTTAAATGGCTTGTAGTTTCATACCTGAGCAGGGGGTTGGACTAGATGACCTCCAAGGTCCCTTCCAAATTTATCATTATTATTATTATTATAAGAAGCAATGGATGGAAACTAATCAAGGAAAAAGCAACCTAGAACTAAGGATAAATTTCCTGACAGTTAGAATAATTAATCAGTGGAATAACTTGCCTCCAGAAGTTGTGAGTGTTCCAATACTGGAAATTTTTAAGAAGACATTGGACAGCCATTTATCTGAAATGGTATAGGGTTTCTTGCTTGAACAGGGGGTTGGACTAGAAGACCTCTAAGGTCCCTTCTGATTCTGCTATTCTGCTAACCACTGCTGAATGGAGAGCCTATCTACTGCCTATTTTTCAAGTGTACTTGTAATATATTGTAACCACTGTTGATCCATCTGCCAGTAGAAAAAAATGTAGCCTTTTAGCTGATATGGTATTAATTTACTATGTAACTACTTTCTGACATACCAGTTTGACATCTTTACAGAGCTCACTTCTAACCATAATTACTTAGAAATAAGTCTTATAGAGACTGAGAGACCTGCTCCCAATTTAATTTACTTAGGAATGCATTTGTGGATGTATTATTTTGAGACAGAACCATTTTAAAAGGCCTTATCCTACATTCAAATAAATCTCACAGTGACTCTCTTAAATCAATGTAAGCAAATTCAACGTATTAATACTATTCACTATATTGCAAATGCTTTTGGTCCATCACAAGAATTCCCACAGTTTAATCTTGATTTTTCTTACTCAGGGTATCATCTTAAAAAAATAACCCACATGCAGTACAGTTATTACTAGAAAAGTTATCCCAAACCTATGATAAGCAAACCAACAGCGGTTATAAAATGCTTCAAGATCAGACAATATTTCCCTGATTTCTCAGTAATCAATTTAAGATACAGGTTGCATGCCTTTTGGTCTTATGTTATGAAGATTAAGTGATAAAACAAAATGTTGTTTATTTGAAGTAAGATTTACCATGAAAAAGGTTGGGGGCCATTGCCTTGGTGGTCTTCTAGTCGAACTCCCTGCTCAAACAAAAACCCCATACCATTTCAGACAAATGGTTGACCAATCTCTTCTTAAAAACCTCCAGTATTGGAACACTCACAACTTCTGGTGGCAAGTTGTTCCACTAACTGTCAATAAATGTATCGTTAGTTCTAGGTTGCTTCTCTCCTTGATTAGTTTCCATCCATTGCTTCTTATAATAATAATAATGATAACGTTGGAAGGGACCTTGGAGGTCATCTAGTCCAACCCCCTGCTCAGGTAGGAAACCCTATACCATTTTGGACAAATGGCTGTCCAGTCTCTTCTTAAAAACTTCCACTGTTGGAGCATTCACCGCTTCTGGAGGCAGGTTGTTCCACTGGTTAATTGTTCTAACTGTCAGGAAGTTTCTCCTTAGCTCTAGGTTGCTTCTCTCTTTGGTTAGTTTCCACACGTTGCTTCTTGTCCTGCCTTCAGGCGCTTTGGAAAATAGCTTGACTCCCTCTTCTTTGTGGCAGCCCCTGAGATATTGGAACAGTGCTATTGTGCACCCCTCGTCCTTCTCTTCGTTAAAGTAGACATACCCAATCCCAGCAACCGGTCCTTATACGTTTTAGCCTTCAGTCCCCTAATCATCTTTGTTGCTCTTCTCTGTACTCTTTCTAGAGTCTCAACATCCTTTTTACATCGTGGTGACCAAAACTGGATGCAGTATTCCAAGTGTGGCCTTACCGAGGCATTGTAAAGTGGTATTAATACTTCACGTGATCTTGATTCTATCCCTCTGTTAATGCAGCCTAGCACTATGTTGGCTTTTTTGGCAGCTGCAGCACACTGCTGGCTCATATTTAAATGATTGTCCACTAGGACTCCGAGATCCCCCTCGCAGTTACTACTATTGAGCAAGGTACCCCCTATACTATACCTGTGCATTTGGTTTTTCTTGCCTAAATGTAGAACCTTACTTTTTTCACCATTGAATTTCATTTTGTTAGATAGCGCCCAGTGTTCAAGTCTGTCCTGCCTTCAGGTGCTTTGGAGAATAGCTTGACCCCCAGCCCCACTTCTTTATGGCAGCCCCAATTGTTACCCTGAGTAAGAAAAATCAAGATTAAACTGTGGGAATTCTTGTGATGGACCAAAAGCATTTGCAATATAGTGAATAGTATTAATACATTGAATTTGCTTACATTGATTTAAAAGAGTCACTGTGAGATTTATTTGAATGTAGGATATGGCCTTTTAAAATGGTTCTGTCTCAAAATAATCCATCTAAAAATGCATTCCTAAATAAATTAAATTGGGAGCAGGTCTCTCAGTCTCTATAAGACTTATTTCTAAGTAATTATGGTTAGAAGTGAGCTCTGTAAAGATGTCAAACTGGTATGTCAGAAAGTAGTTACATTGTAATTTAATAACATATCAGCTAAAAGGCTACATTTTTTTCTACTGGCAGATACATCAACAGTGGTTAGAATATATTACAAGTACACTTGAAAAATAGGCAGTAGATAGGCTCTCCATTCAGCAGTGGTTAGCAGAATAGCAGAATCAGAAGGGACCTTAGAGGTCTTCTACTCCAAGCCCCTGTTCAAGCAAGAAACGCTATACCATTTCAGATAAATGGCTGTCCAATGTCTTCTTTAAAATCTCCAGTATTGGAACACTAACAACTTCTGGAGACAAGTTGTTCCACTGATTAATTATTCTAACTGTCAGGAAATTTATCCTTAGTTCTAGGTTGCTTCTCTCCTTGATTAGTTTCCATCCATTGCTTCTTATAATAATAATAATAATGATAAAGTTGGAAGGGATCTGAGTCTCTATAAGACTTATTTCTAAGTAATTATGGTTAGAAGTGAGCTCTGTAAAGATTTCAAACTGGTATGTCAGAAAGTAGTTACATTGTAATTTAATACCAATATATTAGCAAGGCCTTCTGCTGGTCCATGGGTATTTCCGATAGTTTGGCATCAAAGGAAAATAGTTTAATATTTAGACTTCAATAACATTTTGATTAATTCAATTTATAAATGTATAACTGATATTACTTGCCAGCAATTCCTTTCTGCTGGGATTAAAAAACTGAACTTATACTTACCAGGCCTAAGCTTTATACAATATTTTCCCTGAGAACAAGAATAAAGGATTATTCTGTGCATTTTCATCAGTAACATAATATTTCCGAAATAAAATGAATAGACTGGTTTGTAGTTTAAAATTTGGCCTATAATGAAAATATATCCTTCAGATGAAATTCAATTCTATTTTGTACCATATAAAATGTTTATTCTTTAGTGAACTTATTTATATATTTTTTTTAACAATTTGTTGTATATTCTCTTACTCTCCCAAACATTTTTTTTTAAACAGAGAAGGCATTTTACAAGTTATGGCACTGTATTGATTATTCTAGTACCAGTTAACTAAAGTCTGTCTAATTGTATTGCTATTTCTTTCAATTTGATTGATATTTGTTACATTTTTAGAGCCATGGTTTTGTAACTATATTTGACTTTATAAAAAGTGATTTCATTAAAGATTTTCATCATTCTGCCAAGTCTTCTGTTTTTCTCCTATTTAAATGAATGATTATGGATTACATTCAGTACTAAAGTTTTTGAAAACTTATACAACTTTTACATATCAGCTAAAAGGCTACATTTTTTTGTACTGGCAGATACATCAACAAGTGGTTAGAATATATTACAAGTACACTTGAAAAATAGGCAGTAGATAGGCTCTCCATTCAGCAGTGGTTAGCAGAATAGCAGAAATAGAAGGGACCTTAGAGGTCTTCTAGTCCAACCTCCTGTTCAAGCAAGAAAACCTATACCATTTCAGATAAATGGCTGTCTAATGTCTTAAAAATCTCCAGTATTGGAACACTCACAACTTCTGGAGGCAAGTTGTTCCACTGATTAATTATTCTAACTGTCAGGAAATTTATCCTTAGTTCTAGGTTGCTTCTCTCTTTGATTAGTTTCCATCCATTGCTTCTTATAATAATAATAATAATGAATGACCTTGGAGGTCATCTAGTCCAACCCCCTGCTCAGGTAGGAAACTACAAGCCATGCACTTAATCTTCATAACAGAAGACCAAAATGCATGCAACCTATATCTTAAATTGATTACTGAGAAATCAGGGAAATATTGTCTGATCTTGAAGCATTTTATAACCGCTGTTGGTTTGCTTATCATAGGTTTGGGATAACTTTTCTAGTAGTAACTGTACTGCATGTGGGTTATTTTTTTTAAGACGATACCCTGAGTAAGCAAAATCAAGATTAAATTGTGGGAATTCTTGTGATGGACCAAAAGCATTTGCAATATAGTGAATAGTTAATAGACAAAGGCTGGCTAATAGAGCCACTTCATTTCACTCATGCCTGGTATGGTTAATTATTTTATAATCTTGAAGAGTAAGAATTTCAGTAAGAATGAACAAAGAGTGGCCATTTCATTCAGTGTTAATTATGGTAATATGCAAGTATCTTTCATGCACTAAACTTATAGGAATAAGCTCTCTTGAATTATTCTTTCACAATGAAATGGTTTCTGTGGCCTGGTTTTGTTGACTGACTCTACTTTTACTGGTTGTCTTTAGCATGTCCGAGTGCTCGATGGTGTCATGCTATATGCCTGTGTGACACAGATACAGCAGTTTTGATTGGCGGTGAAGGATCTAATCAACAATTCTGCAAAGATGTACTCTGGAAACTGGAGATTGGTGAGATACTTCTATGCTTCTAATATTGATATGCCTTGTCTGCAAGCCATGGGAAGAAAACATTCCAGATCTTCTAATTTGTAGGGACCATTAACTGTCATACAATTTGAGCTTAAAGTTACTGGAATCAACTTCCATTGAATAACATTAGGGGATGCCTTAAGGGAAATGTCTCTGAATTTCACAAATACAAGACTATGCGTCTTCTCTGTTTACTGTATTATCTAATTATCTAATTCGCAGATAATGACTTTTGGTTCCCTATGGATTTCCCAACACAAAATTCCATACCACAGTGTTCCCGAGGTCACAGTGCCACTTATGACCCAGACACCAAGCGCATCTACATATTTGGGGGCATAAAAGAGGGGAGATGCTACAACAGCATCTATGTTTTGGATACAACATCTTGGAAATGGCTTCATGTTTTTCTAAGTAGAAACCAAACATTGGGCCCTGTAGAAGAGTAGCTTCAACTTGCTTTTTGTGTGCCTATTTTTTGTTTTTGCAATTTTCTTATTCTCTTTTGTAAGAAATAAGAGTTCAAATACAATGGCAAAAAGTGGACTAATTCATGTAGGAGACAGAAAACAGGAGTAAATAGAGCAGGTGAAGTTTTTCTGGTAGATTACAGTTAGAAACTGGATGGATGCTATCCAGTAATGCTATTGAGAGCAGGAGAGCCCCCACTGCTGCTGATACTAAGTCAGATTCACCTGCTGACTTGGGTTGTGATGAGGTTTTTCTTTCTTCTCTCAGGCTAAAGGGAAAGTGCCCACTCTGGCCTTTCACAGTGCAACTGTCTATCGCAAGGAAGTATTTGTCTTTGGAGGAGCTTTCTCTAAAATGTTGTCCTTGGAGAGAGGCGCCTGCAGTAATGCGCTTTTTATTTTCAACCCTGACTATGAGATTTGGTACCAACCTATTGTGGAGGGGGAGAAGCCACTGCCAAGGCTGGGGTGAGGCATCTTGTCTTGAACTCAGAGGAATCTGACATAGGCAAGATTTATTTCCTTGGTCTTTTTCTCCGCTAAAAAGTGAAGCAGGTGTTTTTTTCATGCACTTTTATTTTAGTTAGAAGTGAGTGTTTCTTTTTTCATACTGTTGTATAATATTCCTTTGATAAGTTCAACATCACATGGAGAAAGCCTTGGGTAAACCTATCATTTGAGTTTTTCTACGGAACTCATTTTAAGGAATCATATGCATTTATGTACTTATGCTGATTTCTTCATTGTAGCCATTGTATTTTTGTATCCTAGTGATTATTATTTAACACTGCAAAGCAGTTATATCCCTTAGCAGTAGCAGAAGGAAGGATTTTAAGTAAGATCCATTTATCATGACTGGCAAGACACTTCCACTCATAATGGAACATTTGTGACTTCTATGGCCCCTTTCTCTGTAGACATTCTTTTAGACCATATTTCACACTGATACTCAAAAGTTTTATTGGTGCTTCCATTTATAAATTAAGAAATCTCAGAAAACGAAAAATGGGATCAATGATACAATAAACATCATTGTGGACTCTTGAGTATGCTAGTTAATGCCATTCCCACTATCAGATTATCCTTCTGATAGTTTGTGTCCTTTTTATTTTAAATAAATATTCCAAGAATCAAGAATATAAAATATTGGTTACTTGATGCATTTGTCCTGTCAAGGTGTCAAATAATAATGTGTGAACAAGATTTCTATCTAATATGTTTGAGTTTTTATGTTCTCTGCCCTTATCTCAAAGTCATTCAGCTACTTTGTTGAAGAACAAATTAGTCATATTCGGAGGCCAGAGGACTTCTACATACCTGAATGATACACACATCCTTGATCTAGGTAAGAAGGGCACAATGCTTGCCTTCTTAAATATCACCAGGATTTGGACAGTGTAAAGAGCCTACCTTTATAGGCAGCTCAATTTGATGAGAATGAAAGATTATCCTGAAATGGAAGCTGCCCACTCATGAAGAATAGTAAATGGGAGTAATTTCACTTCATGGGAAAGGCAGTAATAAAACTCTGACAATAGCATTTGTAGGTCTTGTAACAGGAAAGATGGCTTCGATAATGAAATAAAACTGTATCCTTGGACTATAAATCCTTTAAAGAGAGGAAGCTATTTATGGCAACAAATATAAAAAGGTGTTGCAGTACTTAATTGCAGTTTTTGTGGAACAGAATAATTTGGTTGCTAAATGATATATCAATGCATTCTGTGCCCATTTCATTTTTGTTTTTGCTCTGATACAATAGAGTCTAATCTATGCAAATATGCACTTCAGCTTGGTCTTTTTGAAGTGCTACAAAAAGCACTGAGACAGTTTTTTTTGTGTGTGGGTCCAAAACATCTTCTAATTATTTTATCTCATACTTCTAGGTTTTATGGAGTATAAATCAGTTCCATCTCTCTCTGGACAGCCTTCCCCTCGCAGGTCTGCTCATGGTGTTATATGTGCTCTCTTGCATTAACTGTGCTGTGCTAGCAAATAAGTTTGAAACAGTTACTTTTTAAATCGAATTTATATGGTTGCCCATCTTGGTATCTCTGGGTTAGATAACGGAATGAACTTTAAATTCTTACTCTTTGGAAGTTTGTCAATTTGTAAGCAAACTCAATCCTGAAGCATTTATTATGAAACTTTGCAAGTCCTAATCATTCTATTCATGCTGGTAAAGGATGCTGATATCAATATGGCTAGAATGGCTAGAAGGAAATTTAGATACTTAAAAGTCTTAAATCTATCCCTCTATACAATTTGAGAACCTCACTAGATCCAGGCCTTTGCCACTTCATCTCCTAGTGCCCCCCCTGCTTCTCTAAGGGAGATGGGCGGTTAAGAAATATGAAATATATATAAATAAAATAAAAAATTGTTTTATGGAAGATCTGCAGGTGGTCCTCAAATTGTGACCATTTATTTAATGACCATTAGAATCTACAGTGGGGCTCAAAAAAAAATCACAGTTGTGACAGTTGCAGCACCCCTGTGTTCATGTGTTCAAAATTCGAGTGGTCAGTAAAAGGCTGGTATTTATGACAACTGCAGCATCCTGGGTGGGAGGGAGGGCTGTCACATAATTGCCATTTGGTAACTTCCCAGGAGACTTCTGACAAGGAAAATCAATGGAAGAAGCTAGATTCACTTAACAATGATTCTCTTAATGACTGCTGCAAAAATAATTGTAAAATCAGGGGTAACTCACTTAATGACTGCATCACTTAGCCATGGTTTCTTCCCAGTTGTGATTGTAAGTCAAGAACTACCTATGCTCCAGTCTAATACACTTTTTCATATAAAAGGATAGAGTGGGGTTTTCCAAATAGTATATTTGGAAAAAAAAAAAAACGGGACTGGGCATACCTGTCTAGAAAAGATTCCCAGACATGGGAAGTAAATCTGATACAGGTTACTTACAACAGTTTATTTTCAAAGTTACAACGGCACGGAAAAAGGTGACTTATGACTGTTTTTCACACAACTTGTTGCAGCACCCCATAATCACATCAACAAAATTCAGACACTTGGCAACTGACTGATATTTATGACTGTTGCAGTGTCCTGAGATCATATGATTCTCTTTTGTGACCTTCTGACAAGCAAAGTCAATGGGAAAGCCAGATTCACTTAGCAACCGTGTTACTAACTTAACAACAGCAGTGATTCACTTAACAGCTGTGTCAAGAAAGGTCATAAAATGGGGCAAAACTCATTTAACAAATGTCTCACCAACAGAAATTTTGGGCTCAATTATGGTCGTAAATAAAGGACTGCCTATACTTTTGTGTTCAAGGCTAATTAGAAGTGGCTAATCTGACTAATTAGAAATAGTTAATTTGGCTAATTAGAAGTGGTTAATTTGGGTAATTAGAAGTGGCTAATTTAGATGATCTATTTGGCTTCTAGTTTCCATGCTGCTATCCAAATCTCTGATCAAAAAATGTTGATAAGTGGTGGCTGTAATGCCAGAGCAGCTTTCCAGGATGCATTTATCTTCCATTTAGGTAAGTTATAAAAGTCTACCATAAAACGGGCCCCTTAGCCCTAGAAAACATTTGCCAGGACTCATCATCTTCTTTCCATTGCAGATACCTCGACTTGGAGTGCAATTAAGCATAGTGATCTTTGCGCTGTGCCCCGGGCAGGCCACACATTGCTCAATTTAACTTGCACTAACCTGACAAACACGGATAAGAAGAATCAGAGCAAACACAATATGTGCACAGTGCTTGTCTTTGGAGGTTCAGACCATGCTGGAAAGTTCTATAATAATACAAACAAATTCCAGCTTGATTTTCAAAACTAAATAAGTGCCTACTGAATTGTTTTGACTCCATGGCAAGATCAAGACCCAGAAGAACAGAAACAACTGGACATCAGAATAATAAAAATGAATTGATAATTATGTGAAAAAGCACAGGGCTGTTGAGGCTTTACCAGAGATTGCTTTAAGGTTTGATTTCTTAGATCAGCGTTTCTCAAACTTTAAAATATGTGGGCTGGGACCTGAACTTCTGGGAGCTGAAATTCACACATATTAAGGTTACCAAGTCTGAGAAACTCTATCTTAGATCTTACTCTAGATTTAAAGTGTGTCACAAAAATGTCAGCCCCTGCCTTTATTTTTAACATGAACAGATGTGAGGGAGGTAGACACCTCATTTTGCTGTCATTATCCCAGCTATTTCTGTTTTTAACCCCTACAGCTTTATCTGTGATGGCAGTTAATGTCTTAGCTGAATTCAGTAGCTCAGCATCTTCACATTTTAGCTTATCAGCAGTTGAGAGGGCAAAAAAGGAGAGGGAACACCACCAAAATAAGTATTTTGGAGGCGGCTTAGTGCTTCTGTGGAAAGATTGATCAATGATATTTTAATATTGCTGTGAAATATATTGGTTAGGATTTCCCAATGTGTTTTACACATTTGGTTTGTTCCTGTTCTCTCCTCCTCCTAACCCATTTTGTTTATCTTTTTTCTTCATGCCTCAGATAAAAGTTGTTTACATTTTGCCAAATCTAATAAAGCAAGCATAAGTATTTCAACTTGAATATATAGATCTTGGCCATTGGAATGAAGACAAATATCTTCTCAACATCTTAGAAACAATCATTTTGAAGATCATAGGATTTTGTTTGAAGTGCATAGCTCTTTAGAAATCTGTGTGCTTTTTTTCCTGGAAAATCTGCAATCCCTGTGAGGATTAGAAAACTTCTAGCTGCTGCCAATTCATTGCATGAACTTCTGTTGTTACAACTTACTATACTAAAGGAAGAAGTTAGAAGTTCCCTAACTTTCAATATTTCTGAAATGCTGGTATATGCTGGCTAATGAACGGGCAACTTATAGCTCTAAAGCAAATCCAACTGCATCATCAAATTTTGCCAAAAAGTAGTGATACAGTTTGCTGCTGCTTAGGTAGCACATAAAAACTGTTGTGGAAGTTCTTAAACAGTCCTTAGTAATACTAAAAAGGAGATATGCATTGAACAACATGCTATTAAACTAAAAGCTGGCAACCGTTGGACATGTGACTGTTCTTTTTCAGGCCCAATCACTATTTACTTGCCAGTATCTAGAACTTTTTCAAGTTCTTTAACTTTGTATATGGTCTAATTATAGATTAATACCTTTGCTATTTACACAAAGCAATGCTGCTTTTTTGAACGTCGCAAGAAACACCCACAAACTCTTATCTTTTGATCTGCTTCACGATTGCATTACAATTGTCACACATGATTAAAAATGTATTTTACTCCAGCTATGTACTCTACAATTGCAGTGTCTTTTTTCTTTTTCTTTTTCTAGTCTTAGATTTGCCAAACTCTTCCTCATGAAAACCTCAAGTTTTTTTTCCAAAAAATCTTAAAAAGGAGAGTCCCATTTAATTTTGGATCAATTTCCCTCACAGTAAAACAAGGAGTTGAAGAACTTCAGGATCTTAATTCTGGAGGTGTATCCGGCTGCCGGGAAGGATGGCTGCTTTGAAATGCTTCCAGTTCTAGGATTCTGTTGATTCTGCTTATTGTGAGGTATGGAGTCAGATCCATTTTAAATCTGGTAAGAGAAAATTAAGCATTAGGCACATCTGTGTTACTGTAAGGCCAAGCCATTTTGTTTAAGATACATTTAAATCAACAGGAAGCAAAACAAAGATCTGTTACAATCTGTTCACAAGAACATATTTTGCATTGAGTGATAACTGGCAGAAGTGAAGAGATCAGTGAAGGGAGACAAGTACTCCAGCCCCTTCCTTTATTTGTAGAATTGAATTATCTATTATATGAATACAAGAAAAACAGGAATGGATGTTTCCAAAATACTGCAGAAAAAAAACAGATGAGTATTCCTTTCACACCTCCTAAAGCAGTGTTCTCAACCTGTGGGTCGGGACCCCATTTGGGGTCGAACGACCATTTCACGGGGGTCGCCAAACAGTGCAGTCCGCCTTTTCCCCCCTTTCCTTAGCTGTGCTACTCCCTTTTATTCTATTGGCTTTTGAAAGCCAATAGAATAGACTCTCTTGAATAGAGTCTAATTCTATTGGCTTTCAAAAGCCAATAGGAATTGTCCAGGCTGTCTCTACCCATTTTGCAAATGGTGCTGCACCAGTTGAGTAGTCCTCAACTTAAGACCAGTTGAGTAGTCCTTGACTTACGACCAGTTGGGGGTCGTGGCATTAAAAAGGTTGAGAACCACTGTCCTAAAGGGTAACAATCTGCCTCCTAAATCTCCTGAGAGTTAGAAAGAGCAGCAAAGGCAAAAAGGAGCTCCCACTTTAATATACTCAAATTTATCTGTTTCCAAATTTCTGTAATCGAAGGGCTTAACATTCTGGGTTTATAAAAATTCAGGCAGTGAAAAAAAGACAAGGGCAGAACTGAGGAGAAGCTGAATAAACTTTGGACAGAAGCGGGATAAAAAGAAGACTGACAGCATGGGATTGCCAAGAAAAATGGGAAGTCCAGGTAAAAGGAAGCAGGGGTCTTTGCTTCAAGAAACATGGGAATTTTGATAGAGGGATGTGTTGTAGACAGGGTATAGAATAGACTTTTTCTGTGCACTGTGAGGAGAAATGGAATGTTCTTATTTTCTATCAGTTTGGAAAATTAGATTTTACATCAGTTTTGAATCAAACCTTTGGTAATTAATCAGAAGGTATTTTTATTGTTGTTGTTATATGTATCACTTGTCCAAACAAGGTAGGTGTGTTTGCGTGTGTGTGCATGCAAATACTGAAACAAACACTGTAATATCACACAGTGTATGAAATAGGAACACGTAGTCCGTTTTGATGAATGTATTCGATCCTGCAGATACGGATCTGAACTCTATCTTTTTGTAGAAAACTTTCTACTGTGGTCTGCCTGGGGCATTTGCTTTGCATTTTCTTCTAAATTTTCTCTTTAGTTGCTAAACCTGATCAAGGCAACTCTATAAATTCCTTTCTGCAGCACTGGACGTATTTATTTTAAATTTAGTAGTTAAAAGTAAGGTATATTTTATCTCTTGTTTTTTTAAATTAAAATTTGATTTTGTTTACCTCCTGAGGGCAGGAAGGAACGAACCTCTAGTTACACAAAGGTGTTTTTTCCCAAAAGGCAACGGGACTTTCTTGATTTTTTTCCTTTCAGAATGTTTTGCTTCTTATCCAAGAAGCTTCTTCAGTTCTAACTAATTGATGGGGAATGGAAAGATTTATATTCTTTGCAATCATTTGATTATTAGACTTTAGCACCTCTAGTTACATACTCATGTACTACATGGCACTAAAGTAGCATTATGTTTTCTTTACTTTTTAATTACCAGAAAGGGCAATGTGTGGAGAATAAGGAAGATGATCTTGATGGAGATATGCAAGAACTATTACCTAAGCAGAGATCCTAAAACATTTTTTTTTAAAAGTCCCGAACAGGATAGCATTCAAAAATAGCTCAGGCGGACTCCTCCCTGATTTACTGGAGTATAAGGTGAAGTGGGAAAGGACAATCAGATTCTGTTATTGCCAATATTAATAAATGTAAATTTAACACCCTTCTGGTCTGGTCTACTTAATGGGGTGGAGGGGAAGACATGAAATGTTTCTTGGAAGTTAGGTAGTAGTAATGGGAATTACCAAGCTGCTACACAAAGAGGAATTGAGACCAGGGTAGATCTAGAAGACTTCTGGAAGTGAAATTTTGAGATTCCCCAGTCTTCTAGTCTATGGGTGCTGCCATTCAATTGAATGCTAAGTAGTATTCTACAGTCTTTATACAGTCAGATGCCTCATTGGATTATAGTTTGTCTTTAAAGTGATACAAAAGTCTCTGATTACTTGTCAGGCTGTCATCCTTCTTAGAACTTGTGGAACTCCATTTTCCTTACCTCTCAGCATTGTATACTTGGGGGACCAAGCAAAGGTCTGCCATGGTCACCTGAAAAAAAGCACAGATAAATACCAATTCAAGATGCTTTCTCCTGGAGCTAAAATTTGTTATAAGACATCAATCCAGAGAAAATAGTATAACTTTTGTGATGTAGAAGTTAAAAAAAAATGGTGATTTTTGATAGTTTGGCCCTAGGACTGGTTGCTGGCTTTGGACATTTTCCCCCCCCCCCCCAATATCTTACATTAAGTAGTGACTATAGCTCTCAATTTACAACTAGTAGCTTAGAGACCATTCAAAGTTACAGTGGAGGTACTCCCTGGGGTGGGATGTACTTGTGACCTGATTCTGAAGGATGCCTCCCTGCAATCATGTGGCCATACTTTGGGTGCTCAGCAACCAGTCTGCATTTACAGCTGATTGCAACATCCTACAGTCACATGACCTTATTTTATGACATTTTTGCTGAAAACTAGCATTTACTTTTGGTTTCGGTAAAAATGGCCCATTGATTGTTAAACAACCATGGCATTTGCTTAGTAACCATCACAACTTATGATGGTTTAACAACAACAACTTAAGACCATTATGGCCATACTACCTGTGTATGCCATTTGCTTATGGGATTTTTGTTGGGCCATTTCATGCTGGATCTATTCATTGATGCCAAGATATAGACAAATTATTTCTTTCTTAGACAAATGAATTCTGGAATGCTCACTAACATACTGACTAATGAAACATTACTAATTATGGGTTTCTGAGGCTCCTTTATGATCAGAAACGTATGATCTCAGCTTCTGATACCTCATCCCGAACACAGTAGCAGCCAGCTGTTTCTTTCAGGATCTGCTCCAAAGCTGTAGGAAGAGAAAATAGAACTATTGTTGGAAATCAGGAATGATGTTAAGCTTAAACCAACTGCCATTTACAATATTCTGAGTACAAGATAAACAGTATAAAAGAATGAAATAATCCCTATGTAATTTGTTGTAGCATGTAAAAGTAGGATTTGGGCTGATACATTTACTTGGGTAGGGAAAACATCCTGTCAACTTATTCAAGAATATATTTTTGATTAGAGCCACAACCAACAGTGTCTGTCTAGTTCAGCATCCTATATTTTTCCACCTCTTTTCCCAGCCAGTATTACTGAGCAAATTTACTGTAAGCAAGAGCCACTGGTACCTTCCATGAATTTGTCCTTTGTTTCAAACCTTCCTGAGTTAGTGGTCATCAGTACATTATGTGGCAATAAGTTAAGCATAATTTAATTATATGCCTATAAAGAAATATTTGCTTTTGTCAACCTTAACAATCCACTTCTTCCACTTCATTAGAGGACTGCTGATATGAGCAGAGAGAAAGCTATTCTAGAGACCTGATAACTACACAAAATGATATAGCAATGAAAAAGATCCATTGCATAGAAAAGTGCCCAAGGATGTAATTGGATCGGGAAACCAACATATAAGGGGAAAGGGTTTAAATCTTTTATACTCTCTGATTCTTTCTGTTTGGGGGGAAAATCACCAGCTCCCTATATCCTTATTTTAGAAATCATGTGAGAACATGGGCTTGTGAATCCTGTTGTTAGTTGCTGGGCAACTAGTTTCTGATCTCAAACACATCTAGGTGCTCAGATTTGTTTCTGAATCTGTACTTACACTGAGCCCTACTCATGAGTGGTTACTGAACACATTGCTAGAGTCCTGATGATAGAATGGATTGTACCAGCAACTGGAGGGAGGAATGTAAGTCTCTTTTCAACTGCAATCCTAACACAGTGTCAAGGAAACCACATTATTCATTTTCTACTTCTGTTACTATTTTGTACTGAACCATATATTATTAAGCAGCATCTATTTCCTTTGAAGTACAACCCCAGCTGCAGTCCATAAAATTTCATCTGAAGAACACATTTATAGTCCATAGATACAGTATTTACACTATGACACTAACCTACTCCAATTATCTGTTCTACTATTTAAACTTTTAACATTTGAAGTTTTTTTCTCATATGTTTTCATTCAACCAGCAATAAGACTTTTATCATATTCTCCATGAGTGTCACAAACCATCATTCATACTTGGATTTGACAGTGCATTTTAAAGTTTGACAGAAAGATAAACTATAAAACATGATGGGGAAATTTCCTGGAGATCTATTCCCACTAGAATGGTTTCTCTAGGAAAAGGCTCTGAGGAATATTCTATTTAAATTATCCAGAAACTCCCTGAAGCGTTGTATTAGGGTAGTTGTTCTATAGCAGTGGTTCTCAACCTTTCTAATGCCGTGACCCCATAATACAGTTCCCCATGTTGTGGTGACCCCCAAGTGGGTGTGGCCACCAATAAGAGGGAGTAGGACAGCTAGGGAAAAGGGAAAACAATGGCGGACAGTGTGGTTTGGTGACCCCCGTGAAATGGTCATTTGACCCCAAATGGGGTCCCGACCCACAGGTTGAGAACCACTGTTCTATAGGGTCTCCCAGTACAAGACAGGCAGAAAAGAGGCTTCTTTGAAAAAAGCCTTTATCACATTTGGAAATGACTTAAATCCAGATGAACAGCTCATTCTGAAACTTGCCTTTGAAGCCTTGAGAAATGATACGTTGGGCCCAATCTTGCTTTTTCTCTCCCATCTGTTGCAGGACAGCCAGATTCTGAAAAAATGTAAGGAGTTACATAGATTTAGGATATAGTTTATCATTGAACAACAGTCAGATCATACTCCAAATAAATCTAACTTGCAGCATCAAAAGGACAGCAAATACTATTGTTAAGCAAGCAGTAATTTAATCCATATTTAAATCTATATGACAAATGGAGAACCTATGTCCTTCTAAATGTTGTTGGATTCCAACCCTAACCAACACACCTAATTCCCAGGGACAATACATAAAAAGCCCCTAGTTTCCCAGTTCTGCCTTATCACAGTGGAAATTATTCTGCAAGAACAGCTGAAACTGAGTGGAATAAACCCGTCCAATAATGGGTTTTTAGCAGTGGTGGGATTCAGCCAGTTCAGACCACTTTGGCAGAACTGGTAGCTAATTTTTTGTTGTCCAGGCCCAGAATAGACTTCCGGAAGTGGCATCCATACAGAGAACCGGTTGTTCACATATTTGAATCTCACCACAACTATTTCCTATAGTTCTCCTATGGCCATCCTTTTTGATAAAGTTATTCTTGACAAATATTTTTGACAAATCAAAAATAATGCTATCAATGATATTGAAGGTCAGAAATGTTAGTTACCCTGCAAAAATCAAGATGTACATTATGTAACTATTTCTTAGTCATCCCGTATGAACATAAGCCTTTATTTACTTACTTATTTATTTATTTACTTACTTATTTTTATCTCACCTGTATTATTTTTACAAGTAACTCAAGGCAGTGAACTTATCCAACACACCTTCCTCCTCCTATATTCCCCACAACAACAATCTTGTGAAGTGAGTTGGGCTGAGAGAGAGTGATTGGCCCAAAGTCACCCAGGTGGCTTTCATGGCTAAGGTGGGACTTGCACTCATGGCTTTCTGCTTTCTAGCCAGGTGCCTTAACCACTAGACAGCTAAGAGTCGTTGGATACAAGATGGGTGGCAAATAAAATTTAAAAATAAATGTTTGTTGTATAAATCAGACCCTAGAGTTGCTTTCTGCAACAATTACAACCAGGAAAGGACTATTTTCTTTACTTGAAAGAAAGTGGCTAACATCTACAGGAATAACACTCTCCCAGTGCTCTTCCCCTGCATCATTTCTGGCTGAACACTATACGTATTATTAAGTATGACTCGTGGTGCCAAAGTATTCTTGTTTACATTCTCCCTATTTCATACATAGAGAGCCGATTCTTTATGCTGGTTATGGCTATGGTCCTGCAGGAATAGATAAGACAACAGCCAGGTCATATCTTCTTTCATCAACAGAACCATCTTCTGGGTAACAGGACTCACCTTGTGGGCACATGGTTAATAGTGCTTGCCAATGAGATTCTACTTACCAATGATGTCATAACTTTCTGATTGTAAACTATTTGAAAACTCAGTATTTGGAGTCAGCAGGCACACATGCTTTGGAAACCACATCCCAAGTGCCCTTGCTTTGTACAAACAGGGCTCCTAAAGAAGTTTCCATGTCTTGTGTGCTCAGTTAGCACTGCACATTAGGCACACTAGACCCAGCATTCTCTGGAATAACATTCTCTGTGCAGGAAAAGTCTATATCAGAAATGTTTAAGTTAATAGTATTAGAAAGACAGGCAGCCAAGGTAAGAAGTGGTTGAATTCCAGAAGCAACATGATTTGAGATCATCCGAACCATAGCTCTCTTCTTTGGATCTTGAGGAAGGAGCCTCGGGAGTGGCCGGGTGTCCTCCAAATACTCTATGATGGCTAGCTGAAATAGAGAGTCATTCATTCATTCGGCTGCTCACTTGCCAATGGTACTGGGCAGTTTGCAGAGAACTAAAGTTGTTTATTTGCAAGGCCTATAGTCCACTCTAAGCTACCAACTCAGAGCAGCACAGCAACCATAGCAACTCAATTCACCCACCATCCCAGCTGTAGCCTGTGAGAAAAGCAGGATTTGTAAGGCTCTCTAAAGACATCTATCCTTGGAATTTGCTATTCCAAAAAGTAGATGAAAATATATAGGTCTGTAAAATGACACTGTGCCAACCTGGAGAATGGCAGTGCTACAAATATCTAGGCCCTGTGCCATGAAAGGCCTGTATCCAGGTTCTGCATAGATAGTGCTGCTTACATAATGGAGGAATTACTTGAGTATACTGAGATGATCTATAACTGCTGCATTCTGGATCAGCTATAGTTTATGAGTCTTCTTCAAGGGTAGCCCCTTGAAAAATACTCTTTAAGCAGCAGTGATCCTAGGGAACTGGTCAAAGAAAAAAGCCAGAGGAATTCTCATCCAGAATTGCAGTCCAAAATATCTGGTTAAGGCAAGTGCCTTCAACCTGTCCTAGGCCAGTGTCTCAAAGATGATGCCATATTGTATATTAGGGATTCTCACAGTTAGTTATGTTATGGCCTTCCTATTAGACTAATAGGTCTACCAGATGCCACATTGGAAATACTCAGCCAACGTAGCTTTAGAAAACTTTAAATAATCTTTCTCAAAAAAAGGTTTCAAGGTTAGTAGGGTAGGAGAACCATAAACAAAAGCTTGTGCAATGTCTATCATGTCCAGTTAAAACCACTCTTTTCTTTTTCCAGTAACTGTGTGCACATAACACATTAACGAGATCCCCACTGCAAGAAACAGCAAGCCCAGGACTACAAAGGGTAACCTATCTCTCCCAGCTCTGTGGAGCCCAAATAGGTCAAATGACAAAACCAAATGTGTTATTTGAAAAGCAGCAGAACTGGAAGAAAATTACCTTAGCTGTCCACTGGGGACACTAATATGAGAGCATACCAAAGCAGTTATGGGGGCAAAGGCTAACACACACAAAATGAAGTATATTCCCAACAATGTCCTATTACACAGTATGCAAACAAAATAAATTATTATGTTAATACTTGTTAATAACAACATGATAAAAATGTGATAAAAATAAGAAAAAGTACACATTAATTTGCTTATTCTCTCTAGAATACTTAAACATTTTTCATGAACCTTTGGGTGGAAGAACATCTCTCCACCTATGTCACTGTCCCCCAATAATACCAGTGTGGGGAGTGCTTACAGTCAGACTACAGACACATTGTTTTGCAAAGTCTCATAATGTATTGATCACAAGAAGCATTATATATAGATAATTAGGAATTCCCTTTGTGTTTCCTCTTTATCTTATACTCTGCCTTCTCTCTGTTTACCAAACTGTTAACCTCAAGGTCTTCCTCTTTTCTTTTCACTCTTTAGGCATGTATCAAAGGATGATCTCTCCTCCTGGATCTCCTTCTAGGAGGATGTAGCCTGTTGGATACCAGATTTTTCTGGCCACTCGTTTCCTGTATTTTCTGTAAATGAGGTTTTTTTTCTGTTAGAGTTACAAAACCCGTTTCTGTAACCTTTACAAGTCAGGTCCTGAATTCCAGGAATACAAAAGACTTCCTCTAACAGGAAGCACTTAAATGCTTAGGGTTAAAGAAAATGAAAACTCTTCATTATCAGGGTTGTCTTTCTTTCTAACTTGACTCTTTAGACTTTATTGTCTAATTCAGTGGTTCTCAACCTGTAGGTCAGGACCCCATTTGGGGTCGAACAACCATTTCACGGGGGTCGCCAAACAACGCAGTCTGCCATTTTTTCCCCCTTTTCCTTAGCTGTGCTACTCCCTTTTATTCTATTGGCTTTTGAAAGCCAATAGAATAGACTCTCTTGAATAGAGTCTAATTCTATTGGCTTTCAAAAGCCAATAGGAATTGTCCAGGCTGTCTCTGCCCTGCTGAGCCCGCCAAAAGTCCCATTCTGCAAACGGTGCTGTACCAGTTGAGTAGTCCTCGACTTATGACCGGTTGAGTAGTCCTCGAGTTACGACTGGTTGGGGGTCGTGGCATTAAAAAGGTTGAGAACCACTGGTCTAATTAATCTAGCATGATTCCCTTCTTACTATTGTCCTTGTCTTTACCCATGCCTCATTTCTGGAATTTTACTAGAATGAGCATAAGAAAATCCAGTGTAGCATAAGACTTAGCACAACTCCTCTGCCCTCTGCCTTTAGATTCACCTTTCACCTCTTGGATGCAACCAAGAGTATCCATACAAGCAGTGTGGAGAGGGTGTGAGCAGGGCATGAGTATGGACTATGGCAGGTCAGTCTCCACCCCTACTGTAGGCAGAGAGGATCCACACTGTCTCTGAGTTGAAGAAAGATGAAGGATGTTCAGCTCAAAACCCAGTTCTGGTGACTGTGATTCCCCTCAAATTTCCTCATAACCTCCCAGAATCCTATTCTACATTAGGTCTGTGTTCATAAAACATGGCAGATCATAATTTGTTTAGCCATGGTTTATTAAAATAAACAAATAGATTTATTTGTTTATTAGCAACACACTAAGGACCTTTGCCCACTCTGGGATCATCTTTATTCTACAAGCTCCCCATATTGTTTTCATCTTGTCCTCAGCTCATGCATGAAAAAGCCTTAAATCATGATTTAGCTGTACCAGTGATACATGTGTTTTCTTTTTTAGGCCAAGGACAACCAATGACAATTTAAGGGTGAAGAGAACCTATCATGCTTCCTTTTCCTGTGGGTAGTGGTACATTCAGGTGATCCATAAGGAACAGGACGAACCCATCACCTGTTGGTCACTTTGGACTAGTGCTAGGCATGCCCCTTCCTCTAGAGTTCAGGATACCCTCCATGGCCACATTCCTTTTTTTCTTCCTTGGGGGAGGAAAAGCAGGGTACCATTTCTGGCTGCTGTGATGAAGGATGAAGGCATATAATGAATGATAAAGGGGACAGCTTGTGGATTCTGAGACTGCCACTCCTCCTCCTTTATCATAGATTTCCGCTGATTTGCTAGACAGTTTATCAGCCAAGTAAAGCAATGGAGACTTTACTGTTTACTAGGCACATTGCTGTGTAGGGATAGTAGTAAAGCTTCTTTATCAATATCATCAGTTCCCTACAGATCATCTGTCTTGTGCTCAAAGCAAGCCTGTCAAACGGATAATCAGCAACAGGGTTGCCCACTAAATCAATAAATTCTCTCCTGCTTCACCAGATTGGCAGGAGGGATGGCATATTTTATTTTGGTTTAGGTTTCTGCTGGCTGAAGGATAGGTGGAGAGCACTTTATCTGAGCCATGGAAATATTTACCAGGCAGATTTCTACCAGTAGGGAATACACTGAATACAAAGCTTGATTTTTGTGGCTTGGCTTCCAAGGGTTCAAGAGCAGTACCTCTAATGCAATGACATCACCAGAGTGAGTGATCAAAATGTCTGACTTTTGTTTGGGCGGGGAGAGGGGGGAGGCAGGTTAAATTAGGAAAATGTATTTTGCCCTCACATTTGAGAGAAATAAAACAACAGGAAATTAAAATTAGTGCTTCTCTCCCATCCCCATCCCATCCCTATAATTACTACAAAATACTTGCTGTCAATCATGGTTTCCAATGCAGTTGCTAGATTCACAGTAAGTTACAAACTACATCATTACCTCTGGTGTCAGGTGAACTCATTCTAAAATACTGTTTCCACTTCTGGAAACCATTAATGTGGAATCTTTTGATTAGTCTCATACTGGAAACCATACCAAATTGGATTAAATTTGCAAGCAAGATTAGCATAGGCATTATTAATACGGCTGAAATGACTTTCCTGTCAAAAAACTGCAATCCTGCATAGAGTGCAAAGTGCACTGTAGTGTAGCTAACAGAAGTGAGTAAATAATTAACAGAATTTGCTTACTTACAGACTGGGAGAGAATGATGCCATCGATTTTGATGGCAGGGACTTGCTGCATTGGATTCACTGCTTGAAAGTCTGAAGTCATCTGGAGAAACAAGATAATTCCTTAGGCCCATGGGATTCTTCAAATTAAGCTGAACATATTCAAGGAAGTTCTTCCAAAGTTGGAAGTTTAGGGGATCATGGGGTATAGGCTTGTCACTCCATTCACAAAACTAAATGTCTCTCCTTTCAGGATCACACTTGCACATAGTATCTTCCATACACTGATATACATTGATAATGTATATTCCACAGGGAAAGATAAAGACAAGCTCAATTCCTAGTGACCTACCCTCCATGTAATTTCCTTGCTAACAGCACTGAAGTGGTTTGTGCTACTTTCTCCTGAGATGTTTTACAACTTCCTAAGCCACAGCTGCCATCAGCTTCAACCATAGTGCTAGTCAGGGATAAGCAACATTGGCTTTTTTATGACTTGTGGACTTCAACTCTCAGAATTTCTGAGCTAGCCTGGCTCAGAAATTCTGGGAGCTGAAGTCCACGAGTCATAAAAGAGCCAAGGTTACCTACCCCTGTGCTAGACCCTTAAACATTCTTATTGTAATGCAACACTCACATATTATACATGGACACAAATTCACATACCAGTTAATGGCTACATTTCTAATTTTGAGTTTTGTGGATCTTATTATATTTCTTATAATGAAGCATTTTACCTACTGACTAATAGCAACTACATTGGGCATTATAAATATCAATAATTTTTATCTCAAAAAGTAAACTGATGAGGATTTGACTAGAAGACAAGAAATGAGTTTAGAACTCCAAATGCCAAATCAACTTGCTTTCAAATACAAATCACACACTTACCTTTGAAAACCAGAACAAAATACCCATGTCACAGAAGATAAACTGTAATCCTCATGGAAGTATGTATACAAAAGAACTGCAAATAAGCTATCATTCCACAAACAATGTGAGTACAATTTCCATTCCCACAAAGTTTTGAACAGGATATCAGAAACCACATTCCAATAATCAAATAGGCAGATCCAGGAGGGGTCAATTTGGGGGAATAGTTTTTAGGATGATAAGGAACAGGTGATTTAAGTACCCACAGAATTTTAGACTCCCATTTTGTTTTTTAATTTTTGCGAACAATTTCCCCCAAATGCTGGAAGGACTTAAATGTTGATCTACCTACTGAGGAGGTACAAAACAAATGCAAGTGGGCCATCTTTTTTACACCCTTATCTTACACAGACATACAAATCCAGGCAATCCTCTTTTCACCTCCTGATCCCATTGACATGGTCTTCAGCATATAATGCACTAGCAGAGAAGGCCCCGTGTCATCAGCATGAACCAGTCAACCAAGAATGGAGTATCATTGATTTATATTCCTGGCCCAGTTAAAGAACTGAGTTATTGAAAAGCACCACAGGAGAACATTTACTTTGCACTATTAATTGTAATGAGCAAAAATCAGGCTTCTGATTAAGATAAGAAGAATGCTGCTGGATTACAGCAAACTCCATCTTGTATCTTCCTTCTCACAGTGGCTGGTCAGATACCTCAGAGAAGCCCATGAGAATAATTAAACGAACTGCTCTGAAGCACTTGGGGAAGGGTCATTTTAATCCTCTATAAAGAACTTGAGATTTTACAGGAGATAGTAAGTTCTCAAATAACAAAACTGCCATGAATAAAATGAATGGTGTTATTAGTGAACTGCCTGCAAACAGAACTTGCCCATGTGAAACAGGATACTGAAATCCACCTCATTTTTTTTTTTGTACTACAGAACATATAATGGTATTTAAGAACACTAGAAGTCTCTTTTATAGTCAGTTTCACAGGACATTCAGATATATTTTATCTTCAATTGCCTAAAGAAAATCAGGAGGACCTTTTTTTCAGCGAACACATTTTATTAAATTAATGTTTTATTAAAATTTGTAGAAGTAAAGGTGTTACCATGTTTCTGATTTTTTGTTTTGTTTTTCTGCTACAATGGCTCCAATTACCTGCTCTTAGCTTAAAGTGCCTTGGTTTTAAAAGTCTCTAAATTCTGTTACAGTATTTATATAACTTGTAAAGAGCAAACTGGTAAATAATAGTTATCTGCTAATTTATGTTATTTTACTCTTTTGCTTTACAGAAATCTTATAACTTTATAATGCACTAAGTTACAGGTGTTTTTTTAATATTCCATATTTTAAAATTACTCTAATTACTATAGCTTTAATTTCACTTTTGTATTATTACATTTGCATAGCTTTCATCTTAATTGTATGTGGTTTTACTGTTTTTATATTTTGTCTAATCATGTTTTAGAGCTAAAGCTGTCCTTATCATATTGGTTCCAGATTTTGTTATATACTGTTTCTGTTGTTAGAAGTAAAGTCTTCATCCTGGTTCATCCAAGCCGGGAATGAATAAGCAAACATGGCGACTGCTTTGGGAAGAAGGTTACAGTTTATTGCAGAAAGATGGTTCTTCAGGAAAGTGCAGAGGAGAGAAGGAGAAGGGCTGAGCACATGGGGCAGTAGGCTTTTATACCCCCTCTAGCCTTGTTTGGAATAGTTTCCTGTTCCTGTGGCATGAACCTTGAGGCTGTTTCTGAGTGTTTGTCTAGGCCTTGATATCTGTGGTTTTAATTCTATTATCATATCCTGCTTCCCAGATGATGGGGCTGACTCCTAGAGTTTGGGTGGGGTATGCAGATCTTCTCTTTTGTCTTCTTGATTGCTCTGGCTTCAACTTTCTGATGGTTTTACATCTGCATTTGTATAGGGTTAAAGTCTTGCTTGGGGCAGAGAGATAGATTTGGGGCCAGGTTTGGTTTTAAAAAGTCCTTTTGAGGAAAAATATATTTTTCTGCCTTTTTAATATTTCCTTCTTTGGGCTAACTTCCTTCACTGCTTTGGTCAATGATCATAATAATAGGGATTTCTTTACCTGCTGCCCTCCATCCTTTATAAGATTTATGGATGCTTGTTCATAGGTAATTCCCTTAAGAGCCAATGCTACCAAGAGAAAATTTAATACAATTACCTACTGTAATATTGAATTGTTAGATTTTTAAACTTTTGTGACATTTTCTAAATTGTAACCAGACAAAATCAGTAAAATATCGCAATAATTCTTAACAAATCTAATAGCAATGAAAACCATTTGTTTCTAAGTAAAATGGATGGTGCAATAATTAAAACAATAGTAGTTGTTTGATTCATTCCTACCAGTTTGCCAAACTGATGAGCTAATCTGCACCCTATATTAAGCACAATTTAACTATAGGTATTCAATGAACTGCCAGGCCAGTTTTTTTGAATCACCCATGTTTTACAAAACTGTAATGGCTTTTTTTGTAAAATAAAATAAAATAAAAAAAAGGTGCCGGAACTCACACATGTCATACAACCCACCTTGCCTATCCTACAAGGTTCCATCCAAAAAAGGTGCTGGAACTTCGTTCTGGGCGTTCTATGACAAAAAAGGCCCTGTATATAACACACTATAGTGGTCTGTATGAAAGACCTTAGGAGTCTGGGCAAAGAGAGAATGGTGGTAAGAGAAGAGATAGCCCAGCCCACAGTTGCATAGTAAGTGGAGCAAGAGGTTCAGAATAGACTCAACCTAGTTTCTTGGGCTGTAAAGAAGTGTGTGTGTGTGTGGGGGGGGGAGGAGACTTGCAAATCTATACTTTCATACTTGTAAAATTCTGTTAACGTAGCTTTACAATAAAGCAGAATTAGCTGATCTGGTCGTGTTTCCTACCTGATCTACCTTGTAAGACTGGCATATACTAAGAGAGAAATTATTGTGTGGTTCAATAAGTGAGCAGAATGTTTTCCTTATTTACCCATTAAGTACAGAACGGGATCTTATTCCATTTTATTCTAGCTATTCCATCTTATTCTTATAGCAAAACATAGATGAGGTGACACTTTGTCCCGTTGCCCTCTTTTCCCCATTGCCATCTGACTCCAGTGATTGAAATGAATGAAGATTGAGAATTAAAATGACTACACCATCAAAAGCTGGGTAGGACTGGTTGATGACTGGAGGGGGTCCTGAAAAAAATAAGCATCTGGTTACATTTTACTTTTTTTTTTACACACTGGACTTCAATGATTAGCCATCAGATAACCATCAGATAAATAATGGGCAGCACTCTCCCCGACAACTTATTTTTGGGAATTACCAGCATCAACATTGACTCAAAGGTACAAAATATATATCAGTTGAATTTAAATTGGCTATATGTTGTAGCAATCCCACAATTGCTTCTCTTGGTCTATACACTAACCAAGTATACTATAAATCCCGTCTGCCAAAATGCTACATTTGATAAGTTCCCAAAGATGGGTCTTTTCTGCTATGGCACTTGCTTATGAAACATCTTTTCTGAAAGTCCCTCAAAATCAGGCCTGGGGCCCACAAGGGACTGGTGAGTTGCTGAGCTGGCTCCCCTGCATTTAATATTTGCTGCCCTCACTTTGCCTTTTCACCATAATTTTTCATTCTCTGAATTTGATAACTGTTTTATATTACTATTTTATCGCTTTATTCTACAGTGTCCAGGGTCATTTTTTGTGAGACAGCCAGTTATATAAATATGATGAATGAAGTAATAAATTCCAATGACTAAAATGTGGGGACCTATTGCATGCATGCTACAGCTGCTGCTGTCTCATGGACATGTGGCCTCTTTCTGCAGGGGAAGGTTATAGTTCTGGTGCAGAATATGCTAAATATTACATGAATGCTCCAATGTTTACTTCCTGTTTTAATGTTGAACTATTCACTGAGCATTCTATTTCTTTTTACACAACCTTTATTTCCATCATGTATCAGTCAACAGCCACTTTCACAACTAGGAAATGGATCCTTCATATAGGGCTCTAGGCCTTGAGAACGGTCAGCAGAGTCAGGGTCATACTAATCTCTGGAAGGAGAAAGTTTCATAGGGTGGGTGCTATGAGAGAAAAGGCCCAGGTTAAGACTAAGTAGCATGATTCGCTCCTGAACCCCTCTTCAGATGCGAGATAGAGGAGGGTGAGTTTAAGTGCAGAGGAAAGCATGGAGCTAAATATTGGTCAGGATTGGGGCTCAGAGAATGCTAATCTGATGGAGCAGCCTCAACTGGGTTGATCAGATAAGTGACAAGCTGAGGCTGAGGGAGGCGAGCTGCAGCAAGTTGGCCAGGAGGCTCCAGGCGAAGTTTGGAAGCAATTGCTGCCCATTTGTAATGAGAAGGAGGTGGAGACCACACCTCCTCCTAATCTAAGGACACATAGAGCAGAGAGGAGGCAGGCACAACACCGGTCAGCTAGACTCCTCATGAAGAGGCAACAATTAACCAGTGGAACAACCTGCCTCCAGAAGTGGTGAATGCTCCAACACTGGAAGTTTTTAAGAAGAGACTGGACAGCCATTTGTCCGAAATGGTATAGGGTTTCCTGCCTGAGCAGGGGGTTGGACTAGATAACCTCTAAGGTCCCTTCCAACTTTACTTTACTTTATTATGATGATGATGATAATGATGATGATGAAGGGATGCAGTCACTGCATTGCCTATTTAACCCCGCCTGAGGACTTGAGTGTTGCTGGAGCAACATGCCCAGTTTTGTGCCTTGTGTGCTTGTGCCATGTATCCTGGCCTGTTTGACTCTTGGACTGCTTTCTTAGACTTTGGATTTGGTTACCCAGTGACTCTTGCTGCACTGAGCTTGGAATATGGACCTGCGCAACAGAGGGGCTTTTCAAGGACTTGTTTGGGGGGGGGGGTTGAATAAACAACTTTAGAACTCTTGCCATACCTCTGGGGGGGGGGGGGAATGGGGCAGCACACCTGTCTATGCCTTTGATAACATTTTTGCAGCTTTTTTTAAATATATACACTTATTTGGTATCTTTTAATTTTTGCAGCAACTATACTTACGTTCTTTTTATTTTTATTTATTAAATTTATGTGCTGCCCATCTCTTACATTTCATTATTCTATCAAACATTTCCATTTGTGTATCTACATACTGTAAGTCTGTGGCACTTGGTAAAACACCCCCCCCCCTTCCCGGTTCCAAGCATCTTCTACATTCTTTTTCCTTACATCTGCTTTCCATTTAGTCTGCTGGAAGAATAATAATCTGTTTTTCATACAAGACTATGTGATACATCTGTAAAGTGTTCTCTTCTTGAGGTTTTTCCTTCACTTTCATTTCTTCAACTTTTTTACACTATTTAACTTTTCCCCCCCATTAAAGTCCACTCTTGGCAGTAGTACGGTATGAAATGTTCTCACGTTCAAAAGCTCTTACCATTTTTTGCATCCTTCGCTAATTCTCTTTCATCATAAAGTAACAAATCAATAAAATGTTTAGGTATATTTCTTTGCCATGTATATCCAAATCACATTCCAAAAGAATAAACTAAATAAGAACATGTAATTGCTTTTTTCATATATCCTGTAATATTAAGTGATCAATTTTTGAAATTCTGTTCATTTCAGTCATCACATGGGATATCACAGTCTCCATGGCTTACATATGCTGAGAAAATCTCAACAGTTTGCATTGGGATTGCATGCCATTCGCAATTGTTAACGAAGTTTTCCAGTTGTTTTGGACTACAGCTTCCAAAGTCCTTTGCTATTAGCCATTTTGCTCAGAACTAAAGTTGAAAGTTGAAGAGTGAAACATTTAATAGGTAATGAATTAGATTTTTTACTTCTGTCCCAATGTAAAGAGGAGACTTCTTCAATTCACTTAAAATAGTAATTTGCTTACTGCCAGTCTATAATTTACTCAATCACTTGAGTAATTAAGTTAAATACAGTTAAGCAATTCCTATAAATAAAATTCAACAATTATTCTTACCGATTCACACTCTCCAGGAGCAGGAACTTCTGAAATAAGTGTAAAGAACTGGCTACAGGAAAAAAAAAAAAGTTGAAAGCTACAATGTAAGCTCATTAATTTCAAGCTTTAAATTACATATAATGTAAAAAATATTTTTGAAGGTTAAGCTAACAGTCCTAGGTAGCAAAAATCCAAACTAGCATTGACTTGCAACAAAGATTAGTAAACCAATGGCAAGCCCAGAACAGTAATACTATTAAGCAGGCATTACAACTTTCATGCTGAACTGTCTGAAGTTGAATTAACTCACAAAGGGCAGTTGAAATACTACATTTTTAAAAGAATCTTCCACCATTGTTTAGTCAAATGTTTCACGAAATATCCCTTTTGACAGAAGATTATACACAGAGAAGATTGTTCAGAGAGTTGCAGCTCCTGCTCTAAAAAGAAGCAGGCTTTGAAGATAAGAGCAACTACTGCTCTAAAACAGAGAGGAATGAAAGTGTGTAAAAAAAACATACCCCACAAATGCAATGGTAACATGACAGCTCTTGAGCTGTATCAAAAAACTTTATTCTCACCTTTTTGGAAGTCTCCATGCTAGGTACACTGTGCACATAGAGTACGGTATTGCTCAGAATGAAAGCTCGCTCAGATAGTCTTGGCTGGGGCGGGGAACAGGAGCTTCACTTGCAGCCAATCACAACTGTCAGAATTCAGAGGAGCAAAGAAATTGCAACAGCTCATTCCTCCATAGATTTTACTCTAGCATACTGGAAAAAAACAGACAAGCAACACTGCTATGTCTATTCTGCTCAACAGAAATGCCTTTTTGTTTTACAGAATTGGCCAATAGTGCCTGCGTTTTTAAATATCTTCCTTCAATTCCATAATTCAATTCTTACAGACTTCAAAGCATTCTGAAAAGCCTAGAAAATGCAAAAGAGAAGGCATAAGGAAAAAAGTGCTGGAGCAGAATAATAACTATTTGCTCAATCATTTTCTTTCTGCACTGATCTCCAGAAGCAGAACTTGTGGGCTGCAGCAACTTTCTCTTAATATTTCCCAGAAATTCTTACTGTGGCGCTGCATCAAGACTTTCACATTATGCTTATTGTAGCGTAAACACACTTTTTTAAAAGGAAACTAGAAAGAAGCTCAAGTTATTGTGATTGACTTTCCTATATAGGTAGTCCTTAATTTACGACCACAATTGAGCCCAAAAGTTTTGTTGCTAAGTGAAACATTTGTTAAGTGAATTTTGCCCCGTTGAAAGAAAAATCATCAGATCCAGTCCAAGCTGGGAGTAAACAAAATGGAGGCTAAGATGCTGGAAATAAAATAGAGGCTACTTGGGAAAGAAGATTCTATTTATTGAGTTGCCAGAAACTTCAGTGACACAGCATGTTTCTGGGCTGGCTGACAAAATGTAGTTGGGATAAGTGGGCTTTTATAACTTCTTTGGGCTTTGTATTTGAGGTTCTTCCTGTTCCTGTGGAATGTACTTTGACCTGAGCTTGAGTATGCCCTTTTGGTGTTCTAATGGTGGTGGGTTACTCCTATTGTGTTTTAAAGGTCATGTCTTTAGATTTTGGGTGGTGTGTGTGTAGATTTTAGGGATCTTTGTCTTTCACATCAGCTCCAAGCTTCCTGGCCCCAGTTTTCCTGAATTAATCACCAAATCTGCATTTCTAAAAGCTGATTTTTGCTTGGGACAGAGAGACTTGGGGGGGGGGGCAATGGTTTCTGCCTAAGATTTTTCTATGAGAGACGGGTTGCCTTGGGTAGGGGAAAAGTTATATATACCAACAACCCAAAGAGTCACTTTCATGCAGCTTTGCCATGACACAAAATCATCAGGGCATTTTAGATTTGTAAAAACTTTACACTTAATTAAACGGCAATTTTGGTGGCTATCAATAAAAAAGGACATAGAAAGTTATGCAGCCAGTTGCCCAAAATGTGCGACTGCAAAGAGGTTGCAAGGGAAATCGCCAGGACTATTACAAACAGTGGCAAATCCCTCAGCCCCCTGGAGAGAAATAGCCATGGATTTTATAGTGGAATTGCCAGAAAGCAATGAGAATACTGTTGTCTGGATGGTCACGGACTTGTTTTCCAAACAGGTGCACTTTATCCCTTGCCAAAAGATTCCCACCGCAAAAGCCTTAGCAAAACTTTTCATCCAGCACATTTACAGATTGCATGGGGCACCCCAATGCATCATCTTTGACAGGGGGGGGTGCAATTTATGTCTGCATTTTGGAAGGAATTTTTATCCCTCTTAGGAACCACTCAGGGACTGACATCTAGCCATCATCCACAATTGAATGGGGGGGGGGGGCTGAAAAAATGAACTCCGTACTTAAGCAATATTTAAGATATTTTCTTAGTTTCCAGCAGACCGAGTAGGCGGACTTACTCCCTTTTGCAGAAGTTGCCTACAATAATGCAGTCCACTCCAGCACAGGTTACACTCCTTTTCAAATAGCCACGGTCAAAGTTTCAACCCCATGAAACTTTGAAACTTTTAACCCCAAACTTTGAAACTTTTAACCCCAAACGAACCAACGATCCCATCACTGAAAGAATGGATGGAAAAACTACAAAACACCTGGCCAATAGTTAGAAAAGCACTAGATGAAGCTAGGCAGGCATACAAAGCACAAGCCGATAAAAAAAGGGTTGAGCCTACACCATTCATTATAGGTGAAATGGTGTACCTATCTACAAAATACCTAAAGTCCCTACAACCTTGTAAAAAACATGGACCAAAATATATAGGGCCTTTTCCAATTAAAAGAATCATAAACCCAGTAACAGTAGAATTAGAATTACCAAAAAATCTCAGGCAAATACACCCAATTTTTCATTGCAGCTTGCTGAAAAGAGAGCATCAGTCAGTTTTACGGCCAAAAATCCCCCCCACCACCTCCTCCAATCATGGTGGAGGGCGAACAACACTTTGAAATAAAGGAAATCCTAGACTCTAGGAGATATCATGGAGCGACTCAGTACCTAGTTGCCTGGAAACACCTCCCTGCCTCACAAAATGAGTGGGTCCATAAAAGTCATGTCAGAGCCCCGAAGCTTTTAAAGAAGTTTCACACAGAATATCCTAACAAGCCTAACTAACTTTTATACCTGTTTTGTTTTCTTTCAGGTGGATCTGCCTTATATTTGAGGGGGCAGGATGTCAGAATCCAATTATATTTCATCGCTAATTATCAACTATAGAAAACCCCATTTCTGCCTTCTCGGGATTCTGTCATACGATAAAGGGAAGGGGGTGAACAAAGGGGCTTTATGGCCCTCACTTCCTTCAGTACACTTCAAAGGAACTGAATGCGGATAGCATCAAAAGGCCTAATCATAACAAAGGGGACTATTACCTTTCGTGAAGTCTCCATCCAGCCGGCAGTAAGGAAAAGGGGGTGGGAGTGTAATGCCTGAGACTGTCGCTGGAAGTAGGGGATGATTGGGTGAGGCTACTGGGAAACCCCTTAAAACCTTGAATGGGAGAGCTTGGACCCCAAGTCCTGTGTAGAACGCCTGCAACCATTTTCTCTTAATAAAGGATGCCTGTTGGAAGAATTATTCCAAGAGTTCTGTCTTCTTAAGATGCAAAGTGGGATGGGTCCTTACAAGGGGATCAAATACTTTTTCCCTCACTGTAATTCTCTTTGGCTATATTAGAGCACTGATTAGCTCTTTCTCTAATGACATATTCTAAGGCATAACTCGCAATTCCTATGAGGCCCATTATAATGCATGCCAAATTCCCATTTACCCACTGAGCTTTCTTTTTTAGAAAAACAGCAAATTTAAATATTTGACATGTAATCATGTTCTCACTGGTTCTCAATCTCTAAGGCAACGGTGTCAAACTTGCAACATCACGTGACGTGTCATGATGTATCGTGACTTTTTTGCCATTGCCTGCAATGGGGTGGGCATGGTTTTGCTATGATGCATCCTGCCTGTGGGCTGGCAGTTTGACACCCATGCTCTGTAGAGGTGAGAGACAGGCAAAGGTCGTGTGTGGAAAACTGCCCCTCCAACGCTTGTGTTTCCTCTGCATCTATCTCCCCCTCTCACATCACCATAGTGATGTGAATGTACACAGGTCTGTGTGACCTTGTTTCTCTGATAACAGCTAGCACGCAAACAACAAGATTTTACTAACTATTCCCTGTTTCTGGCCTCTGGCCTTTTTACTCTTAAGGATTGGCAAGGATTTTAGCCAATGAAATGCTATTGCCATGTAGAACTTTTGCTGCTTGTATTACTGTATAAAAGGCAATAAAATGCTTCATGCCAGCGGCCATTTCTTTGCACCCTGCCATGACTGAGCACTGATTACTGCATATGGCACCCTCAAGCAGGGACATTTGGTTTTGGGACCCCTCCGGGAAGAAGCAGCTACCAACATACTTATCATCGTCTGGAACAGACCCCTAGGTGCACTTTCGTCTTAAGAGACCTCTCAGTTTGAGTATGGGGTGCAAATTATCCCCCCCCCCAGCGAAAGCATTTACAAGAACTTAGATTCTTGCTACAACAACTCAAATGTGGCAACATTTGAAGCAGACACAAGAGAGCTGGCGGGCGGGGATAGGAAAACAGTGTTCTTCGAATCCTGAGCATCGGACGCTTAGGCTAAAAGATAGGGTATAAATTACATCTTGAACCTTGGGTGCCAGAATAAACATCGATAGTATTCAGGATGTAGTTGGCATAAGTGGGCTTTTATAACTTCTTTGGGCTTTGTATTTGAGGTTCTTCCTGTTCCTGTGGAATGTACTTTGACCTGAGCTTGAGTATGCCCTTTTGGTGTTCTAATGGTGGTGGGTTACTCCTATTGTGTCTTAAAGGTCATGTCTTTAGATTTTGGGTGGTGTGTGTGTAGATTTTAGGGATCTTTGTCTTTCACATCAGCTCCAAGCTTCCTGGCCCCAGTTTTCCTGAATTAATCACCAAATCTGCATTTCTAAAAGCTGATTTTTGCTTGGGACAGAGAGACTTGGTGGGGGGGGGGCAATGGTTTCTGCCTAAGATTTTTCTATTATTCCTTTGGAGAAATATAACATTCTGCCCTTTTGATATCCTCCAAAATATTTCCTTCTCTCGGGGGTGTGCTGACTTCCTACACCCCATTTCATGACCTTTTGGGCTGCAGTTATTAAATGAATCACTGCAATTGTTAAATTAGTGACACCATTGTTAAGTGAATCTGGCTTCCCCATTGACTTTTGCTTGTAAAAAGGCCACAAAAAGTGATCACATTCTGGGACACTGGAACATTGCAATCGTCATAAATATGAGACAGTTGCCAAGTATCTGAATTTTGATCACATGACTACAGCAATGCTGCATGGGTTGTAAGTGTGAAAAACAGTTATAAATCACTTTTTTTAGTGCCGTTAATTTTGAACGGTGATTAAGTGAACTTTTATAAGTCAAGAACTACCTGTATGCTGTTGACTTTATGATATTCTTACTGGAAAATATAGCCTGTGATTATGAGTGCTTAGAAATCAAAGTGATTTGCTAGCCACAATGTTGAAACATTTATATTTATATTAGATAGAAAACCATTTGGCTTGAGAAAGGATTTTTTACCAGTGACTCTAACAGGAAACTGATAAAAAAGATACTAGAAGGCCTAGTATGAATTATAGTTACCTTTTCTCAGCCAAAGAGAAACAAAATAGGTCAAGATCCTTCAAGGCGATTTCCAGTCACATCTACATCCGCTTATCAGCATTAGGGAAATACATCACCTACCCAATCAAATAATTTACAAATTACTACATTAGATCTTGTCTTAAAACCATGGGGCGATGGCTCAAAACCCTGGAAAATCTTCATCATTTGGCTTCAAAGCCTGCTCCTTCAAATACACACTTCACATGATCTGCTTCACTAAATGTTTCATATAACATGCTGGACATCCCCCAACCCAAATATTTGTTGTTACTCTACTGAAATCATCAAGGACTGGTTAACATCATCAAACTCCATAAAAACACAGATTATAACCAGAAGAGCCTTGGGCAAAGGGGAATCAGAGTAATGCAAGCAACACTGCAATATAAGTCCTGCTCCTTTTCTACATGCATTGTGACACAGAATATACGCTTCAAGGACATTTTTGCCATTTTAATGAAAGCAGTGAGAGCTGACAGATTTGACTAAACGTAAGAACCCTTTGATTCATTATATGCCATCAAGCTACTGTAGGGTTCTAATAACCACATATTTTTTTTCATGATAATCCATAAAGTACAATAATAATTTATCACACACAAGATAACTATTTATAGATTTAAACAAGGATATGTGCCTTGATTTTTTTTTGAAAAATGGCTATGTATTTAATTTTATAAATGTAAAACTATGATGCATTGCCTTTTGTTTTCATGACATTTATTCATTCCAGTCAACATAATACATAGTTTGATTCATATAGACCAGGGGTAGGTATAGCTGGCTCAGGAATTCTGGGAGTTGAAGTCCTTGAGTCATAAAAGAGCCAAGGTTGCCTACCCCTGATATAGACTATCATTATTTGTATGCTATTAGCACATTCACAAGTGTGTACTTCAATCTTCACTTGTTGGCCTAGCATTTCCATCTTTATTGTAGGATCCATTTTCTTTTCTACTGTATAGAAAACTGTATACTGTTGGAATCTAACTATACTGGACATATTCACATGCTACATCAACTGCCAAATGTAGTTTAGTTCCATGATGTTTGATGATTCCTCTTCTTGGTTCCATGGCTGCAAACAGCCATTTCCACTTCATGTACCAGCAAGGAAACTGGTACATGCAAACCAGATGCAATGACCATTTTTGCTTGGAATAAACTTGAGAGGGATCTTCTGGTAAGTTTTTTTACAAGTTTTCTCTCAGATTTATTTTAACTATAGACAGTCTTTACACCAAGTTTAAGTGAGATAATCATTGGAAAACATTGGAAGGTTTGCAGCTAGAAGACTTAGCCAGAGTCCTCAGGTGTTCTTGCGGCCAAGCTGTGATTGGTAGTGATGGTCATGTTACATCCACCAAACACAAAATGTTGTATATGCCTACCTATGTTAAAATTGTCACAAAGCAAATATGCTTCTTCATACTGCCAACCTTCTTGCTTCTCCCAGAAATGTAGAAACCATCAATAATAGCTTTCCTTCACTGGAAAAAGCAAATGATTTTACTAAGTGCTTAATAGCATGCCCATTTACTATACCTTAGTTACCTACTAGTGACCAGTTCACCAGTTCATTTTGATGTTCAATAAGGTTGTTAAAATAATTCCACTAAACTGTTTTTGAAGGAGTAGGCACAAATGAAATTAAAATCCCCCTATTTATAATCGTGACTAAAGGTTGAGACTAGTTGAATAAAATATTGTTGATCCCACTTATATTTTAACAGGAATACATCACAACTCTAATCTTCCTGCCTGGCTCCACAATTTTGCCTTTATCTCATCTCCCAGCCTCACTGGTATTATAGTATTTCTCCTCTCAGTTTGATACTGTCAAATGATTGCTTCTGAAGCCAAAATTGTAGCGTAAAAGTCACTGACTCTTGTGGCTATGGCTAGAAGTAGCCTATGCTAAGGATGGCTTGGAAAGAACATACACAGTCATTCCTACCTGTCACTAACCAGCTTGCATCTCAGCCATTTCTCTCAGGCCTTTGCCATTTCCATTAGTACTTTACTTTTGCATTCTGCATAATGCCACAGAAGGGAAAGGGAATAGTGTGATACACCTATATGTACATATTTTAAGTCTACTCACCTTCTACCCCACATGTTTTTGATATCACTTTTTCTCCAAGGTCTCTTAGCAGCGACAAAGAAAGTAGAACCCTCATCTCCCATTTCACTTGAGAAAGTCAAGTTTTTTCCCTATTCTGATTTACCTGCACTTTAAAATGTATTGTTATTTTGGATGTAGCAGTCCTCCTTTTTCTCACAGCAACATTTAGATAATAGTAAATGACATTATGCACTGGGCTTTGCTTTTATTTGCCAGTTTGGAGACATTTGTCAGGTACATTCACTTTCTTTCCTCTCCAAAGAAATCAGCTGGTCAGTTCCAGTTCTTAGCTTCACAAAAGATAGAGCCAGGAAGGCAGCTGGGTCACTCAGGCCCAATACCTCCCTCTCAGCCCTAGGAAGCAGACAATGGCAAACTACTTATGAAATCTTGCAAGGGAAAACTGCAGGGACCTGTCCACACAGTCACCAGCAGCCAACACTGACTCAATAGCACATAACAATTGCTACAGAACTATCTAATTGCACAACCATAGCAGGATCTGCTTTTCTCTTTCCTATAGCTATTTTGGCTCTAGTAGCATCCTTGTGTGTGTGTGTGTGTGTGTGTGTGTGTGTGTATTTTTCTTGGGAGATGCCCAAATTGTCTTTAGGAGGAGAGGCAGTCAATAGCCCTGAAAGGGGACCCATTTAATTTGTGTTTCATTGGTCAACTGGTAGAGGTTTTCTCTGCTGGCTGTAGATATAATAAAGGGGGAGGGCAGAGAAGCCAAAGAAAAAAAAATCATCATCTTCCTATACAAACCAGAAATCCAGGACAGAGCAAAGGCAGTAATGAAGGATAGGGATGTCAATAGGTAAGATGAGTAATACATTTTTACTGGCACTGATTTGTACCAACTCAAGGAGGGGTAGCCTCGCAGGCCGGCAGTTTGACACTCCTGGTATAGAAAAACTGGATTCTAGGAATTCTAGGAATTGCATTTCCTATAAGTTTATTTATGGCCCCAAATATGCTCCAACCTCTACCTCTAGCTTCATATTTCACACTCTCATTCAACTGCATGCAAAGATTAGTCACGGTTCTAAAGGACTTCAGAATCAATATTAATCTCGTCTGAGCAGTTTAACTATCGTTATTATCTTAAATATTTAAGTTAACGATTAACTACTAAACTCTTTAATTTAAAACTTTTTTAAGTGGGATAATCAAACTGGAGTCAGGTTGTTAAAAGAAGTATTCAGGACGGCAGAAACCAACTATATCGTGTTCTTTTATCCGCGCAGCTGCCGGGGAAAGGAAGGCGGTAGTAACAATACCTTTGCTAACGCGGCACACATCTCGCACTCTCTCCATTGACACGTATCTCGTTGGGAGGAGGGAGCCAGGCTCCTTTAACAATGGGCGTAAGCTCGGACGCCTCACGTTCCGCGCTGTAATATTAGTATTAGATTCTACGGACTCAATGAATTACCCCGTTCCGGCGAATTGTTGGGATTGTGGGAGTTGTAGTTTCACATCTTCCCAGCTTTTCTCTGTAATTTTGAATAGCAGCATCAATAATATGCCATGATCTTTTTAATAGAAATTGAACAAACAAACAAATAAAGCTAAGGTTGCCCCTCTGGGTCAATGACTCAGAAGCATTATGTATTTTAGTATAGCTTAGGTTAGTGAATATGTTACCAATTGGGAGTGAATGCAACCTTCTTCATTAGGTCCCTGCATTGTAATATGAAAGCTTTTATTTTTCTTGATTCTCTCCCGTGTTATTTTTATCACTGTCCTTTTTTCACTATTAAGAAATGCACTTGATTTCATTACACAGAATAAAGTTTGAGAGTCTTACAAGAAGAAACTGGCTGATTGCTTTGTTCTTGGGATTGAGACTGGCAAAGGCTCCTAATCAGTAGATAGTTCAAACAATACCTATGGTCTTGTGAAATTATAATTATGTATTGGATATTTTTCATATGAGGAAGCTTAAGGATATAAAAATAACAGAATAAAATCTAAATTTCTAAATTTAAAATTTGCTTCTATAAAGTTTATGTGAAATCTTCCCTTTGCATACACTCATGTACTTTATTATATTGTAATCTTTCCACGTGGTAGCAGGCAATATCATAGCTAGGCAAGGGACAAAGAATTGGCAGGAAAGGATTTGAAGGAGTTTGCACTTTTTGAGACTAACAAATTTTATTTATTCAAATTGTCAGCATATCTGAAAAGGTACTTCCAGAATCCTGATTTTGGGCTACATTTGGGTTAACTACATAGACTAATATGGCTGTGCTCCTACAGTGATTCAAAGAACAACAATTAAAAAAAGAATTGACTAAGCATCCAGGAATATTCAAGTAAATGGCCTGAAAAAATTCTAAATAAACTAGGTTGCAAGAAATAATTTCTGTCTGCGTTGAAACTATTGTCACATATACTCTATATAATACTGAAAAACATTGTGCCTTGTGTATTTTGGATATTGAGTCTAAGTTTCAAGTTACATTTAGGTGACAATCCAACTGAGCCGTTACTCAAATGACAGCACATAAAATCTTGGCACGGCCTTTCATATCTTCCTGATTATATGAAATGAGCATATTATTTTTTTTATAAGAGGATTTTTTTAAAATGAAAAGTCCATTGGACCAAATTGTTTATTAAAGGCAAACTTAGGTAAAGTCATTTCACTGAATACAAGTGGCAAGCAAGATCTAAATTACAATTCTTCCTATAACGGGCATACAAAAAAAGTTACTGCCCTATTTTTTGCACTTGGAGTGCTCAGAGATACAGCAGCCAGGAAAGAGATGTCACTGGCCCACTTTGAGCACAGATGGATAAGCAAAAGAGTGTTTTGAAGGTTTTGTTGAGTCCAACAAAATTAAGGCACTAGGCTATGACCCTAACAGTATAAAGAGCAAGCTCATTGATGCCGATGGAAATTGGTTCTGAGGCTTAACTTCATACGAGTACATAGCCATATTTCAAGAACTACATTTCCCACAATGCTGTAAAAAAGTCAGTTTTCTGCTTCTCTCACGTGAGTGCAAATACCCGACCCTTTTGCCCAACATGCCTCTCGAAATGGACTCTACTTCCCGTGATGCGCTGCGCCCGGTTACGGGAGCCGACGGGAGGCGTCTTCCATCAGGGCGCGAATGCCACTAGCAACGAACAAGAATTGCCCGGCTGTGCTGGGCCTCCGGCAGCGAAAAACACTCAGAGTGGCGAGTGCTCCTGTCTTGGCTCCCTCCATCCGCGCGAGTCCCAGGCGGTTCTGGAGCCCCCTCGCCTTCGTCACTTTCCTAAGCTTTGCTACGCGTTTCTACCGCCTGCGGAAGCCGCCGCACATCTGGTATTGGGTTGCGGGATACCATGGCGATGGGGGCGGGGCTTTATTTTAGAGGCGGGACTTGTCGGTGGAAGAGAGGGTTTTTTTCTTTTGCATTGGAACTCACTTCAGATAGATTGAAGATTGGTTGTTTCCAGGTCACTTGTGCACTTACTTGTTGGTTAACCTGCCTTGGGGTCCTTTGCCCTGAAAGGCAGAATATAAGCAAAAGTAGTATTTTTGGTCTGTTCTTTTTCCATGTGCATACATCATTCTCTTGCATTTCTGTCCTCCTAACAACCTTAATGAGTTGGGTTAGTCTGGACTGGAGTAATTACAGTAGTGGCCAAAATTGTGGAAACCTTTTGGGAAAAGTGTACAGTAGAAATGCCACCTTTGGTTAAGTTTCCACCAATTTTTCTTCTAATTTCTTTATAACTGAAGCCTTGTTCACTTAATAATACTATTTTACATCACTTTCTGGGCAACCAGTCAACTCTTTGCACCATTACTTTAATTTTATTACGTTTTACAAAGCTCACTAAATGAAAGAACACCAAAAAACCCAACCAACTTGATAGTGATCACATAACACACTGACAAATGTTCTCTCAGCTTCAATACATGACATCAATAACTGAATCCTACTGTGATCTGATTGGCTCATTGCCAAAACAATATGACACCTGATTGCTCTCTAAACACTCATGCTCATTGGCTACAATCAGATGAAGGAAAGCTACTTAATATCAACCTAAGCAAGTTGTGCTTCCTTTTTCTAGTTATTTGGCTATAACTTTTCATAGAATACAGTACAGTTAATTGAACAAACTTTGTTGCATTACATTCTTGATTAAATTATCTTTCCATTGATGTATAATTTTATGGCACTACTCCAAAAAAAGAGTGTTATTAGCCATCAAACCTCAAAAATACACTTTTCCCAAAAGGTTTCCACAATTTTGGCCACAAAGGTACCCTGTAGCTTTATTTGAGTGAAGATGCAGTCTTGGCTTTTGGTTTAGTCTGGATGTAAGCCTGAATACGTGGCATAATGTAGAGGATAGAACAGCCAACATAGAACGGATCAAATACAAGAATCTGACCTGGTTAAGCAAAATTCAAATATATCAGGATTCAGAACACCGTTTTTGACACAAAGAAATGACCAAGCTCTTTGCACTTCTGTTTATCTGCAATATTGTACATTTTCCAAGGCACATTGTTGCACTCTTAGAAACATCACAAAAGAAATATGAAAATACACAGAAAATGAACAGAATTTGTCTCAGTAATCAAGCATTGTTTGTTTCTGTGATCAAGCATTGGCTCTGTAGTAAAAGAAGTGTTAATATGTTAAATGTGATAAATATCTGTGCAAGTCCATTCTAGAATATTTTTTATTGAGGGTACTTTGTGTAGAGAATTTTGAGGTATGGCATTTAAATCTATGCAGCAGTAGTCCTTTTTCTTGCTGTCATTAATGGCATACTGACTACTGTAAGTAGTCTCTGCTGTTAGTTACTGTAAATGGCATAAGGCCTGGTTCTATGTGGTACTGCCTCATAGTATTTGCCCGGCCAATTCAATCATGCAGGGATTTTGCACAACAGATTCCTTTAATTCAGGGGGTCTTCAAACTTGACCCTTTTATGACTTGTGGACTTCAACTCCCAGAATTCCTTAGCCAGGCATGCTGGCTCAGGAATTCTGGGAGCTGAAGTCCACAAGTCATAAAAGGGCCAAGTTTGAAGACCCCTGCTTTAATTACAAAGTGCCATTTCAGGACCTTGGAAGCATACCTTCTCTGTAGCAACACCTGCCCTCTGAAATGAGGTTTTCACCTAGATTTGGACAGCCCTTACCCTGCAGGTATTTTGAAGGGCTTTTTAAGGCATTTGGCAAGGGAGAATGATGCCCCTTTGCTTGGTTCTTGTCCATTTGTCATTTTTGCGATAAAATATAATGCTTTCAACCTTATAATGTTTACAAACTTCCTGTAAGCATTATAATAAAGTAAATAAAAAAAATAACAGTGATATAATGTAGAATTATTCATACCAAAGCCTATGCCTTAAAATGGACTTAGGTTCGTCTAATTATAAATAGGATCAAATAGCTGGGATAAACTTTCTTGATTTATTTTTATCAGGATGAATTGGAGTGTGAACTTTTCCAAAATGGACACAATACTTTTACAGCAACGTATGATTAGTTTTCTGTTTTCATGTATATCTTGGTTATAAGATTTGCTTACAAAAGCTATGATCAAAAATCTCAATTTTTAATTTTTCTGAGCATATCAGCTTCCTAGAAGCAAGTTTGTACATTTTAGAGATGCTTAATTGTGCACCGTATTTTGAAGGAAATGAAGATATGTGGTGAAAGTCAGTGTAATGGAGTTGCATATTTGTAGAATTAAAGAACCATATAAATTAATGTGAACAAAGATAATTCTTTACCTAGCCTTTAGTAGAAACTAATTTGGAAAGATCAGGTGCTTTTTTTCATAAACTACATGCAGAACTGTTAAGAATTCATCATTCTGATAAACTAAAAGTAAAGAAGACTAAAAAATGTAAGTATGAAGTTAAAATCCTGATAATGAACTGACATTACTTTTGTCTTTTTATAGCTGGGATGAAACACATTTTGGAAAGATGGGGAGTTATTATATTAACCGGACATTTTTCTTTGATGTCCATCCACCTTTGGGGAAGGTAAAAAGCTACTGTAGTATTTTAACTTTTTGAGATTTAGGTAATTTAGTTAATACTTTTGGTGGAACATTGTTACTTCCTGTAAGCATTATAAACATTTCAGTGGATAGTCTTTAAAATTAATTGTTTTGGTTTTATAACTTGGGTCTTGCTATCTGGCTGCTCTTTCATTCTTAGCTTGAACATGAGAAACAATCTCTTTCAAAGTTGACAGATCAGTTTAAGTCTGAAAGGTTTTAGTGTTACATCATAAACTATTATTCCAAAAATGTTCAACTCTAAAAACCTTAGTGCTGTTCCAGTCTAACAGAAGCTTGCTTTTAAATTGCAGTTCTTAATGTGACAAAAGGAGGAAAGTATTCAGTAACTGACTAGAGAGTAATCATACAAAATTCTGATTTTTAAAAATAAATATGAATC